GGCCTGTTCAAAGACAAGCTAGAGAGGTGCAGAAATATAAAGTAACAAACCAGGTGTCTTATGCTTATATACTTTAAAAAAAAAAGTGAACTAGCCAGATCAAATGTTAACAACATGATAAATATTGCAAGAGAGAGAAAGTCTGGAAATTAATAGTAATAGTAAATAACTAAGTAATAGTAAGTAATAGAGAATCAGTCTCTGACACCAAGTCAGCAGCGAACAGAAACAAACCCATGCATAAAGAAGATTAATGAAGATACACTGAATGTAAACAAAATAAGCTTTTGAAGAAAATAAAGTGATAGAATCAAGACAATTGTAGAAGCAGCTATAGAGATTCTGGGAGTTAAAGAAGTAACAGCTGAATTGATTCATGAGATGTTAAACCCTTCTAATTATGATGGACTGTCTCAAGGTGATTAACTTCCTCTTGGTATTTCAAGTTTAATTGCAAATGGGCAAGAGTTCAAGAAGTTGTAACTGATCTGCAAGTCATGCCATTTGTATAAAGAGAAACGTAGGTTAAGACCACATTTGGATTTTGTTATGCCAGGGTACAGCTCGGTTAAATGTGACAGAATTGGAAAACAAGGAGGAGCATGTGTAACATTCATTAAAGACAATTTAGCATATCAAAGAGTAAATGTCATAATGAGAATGTATAGTGATAAAAATGTGTAGTCTCAGAGGAAATATCTAGTCAACTTCTACAATCCTTGCAAGACACTGTCAATGCAAATATTTCACGAGATCTCTGATAGTGTGATACAGGAGAAATATGGTGTGGAGATTTTAATGTTCATAATACTCTATGGTGGGGAAGTGATTATACAGATACAAATGGAGAAGTAGTTGAAGAACTAATGGAGGAGAGATCGTCTTAATGATGGAGGGTGGAACCAGGGTGAATGTCAGTTGCATGTTTATACCTTACTCTAGTCTCTGGAAGTATAAGTAATTTATGTGAATGGGATGGAAAGAATGATACTAACATGATCACTTTCCAATACTATGTTCTATGAATTTTGATATGTACAGGAAGATATATATATGTAAAGATGGTATTTCTTTAAAACTAACTGGGAGAAATTTAGAGAATTTTGTGGATGATATAGATAACTGTGCAGCAGTGGTGACTTCCATAATTGTTGGTGCTGCGTCAACATGTATTGCTAAGAGCACAGTAAATAGGAAAAAGAAAATGATTCCATGGTAGAATGATAGATGTAAAAAGGCTTTAAAAGATAGAAATTGTACATTCAGAATTTTACAAAAAGATCATTGTTTGTAGATTATCATATTATTTAGAACAAAGAGGACTGACCTGAAGGTGATAAGAATCCTGTTTGACAGAAACGATGTGAAGTTGGGGAAAATGTCTCTGTTCTCAGAATCAGCCTGTATTCCCAGGCTGTGTTTTTTCCTCTGCTCTTCTCCCTGTGACACAACGCTGGACTCTCAGTCACCAGTGTGTGGCTCCTGATTCAGGTGAACTTCCTCTTCTGCTATCTGGTGGGGATGTTGCTACGAGATGGGAGATTTGACATCTGGTGATGGTGAGCGTAAAACTGTGAGCTCTGAAACACGTGGTGTTGTGGTTTCAAAAAGACCAGCCCATATCGTGTTGTCCAAGTTGACTTTGTTGGGTCTTGTCTCGCTTTGGGTTTACATCATTACCGGACTCAAGGTGGGTCACAGAGCTAGAGAGGATTGTACTTCTGCAGGGGTTGTGTGTGTGTTGTGTGGTGTGTGTGTGGTTGTGTTGTGTTGTGTCTTTGCTGTGTTGGGTTTCTGGTGTTGGTATATTGTAGGATTGATGTTGGTTTGGTATCTTTTTGTTGACATGGATCCTCATGAGACACTAATGTCAGGATAGAATTAAAAAATTTTTGTTTTAGGCTTTGGACTATGAGGTTATGCCTTTGACATAGTCATATTTAATTGCGTTTTTTATCTTCATCCATTAAATTTGTCACAGAGAAATGTGCACATTTGTGTTTGATTTTTTATTTTCTATTTGTGTAAAAACTAGTTTTACAATAGCGTCGTTGGAATGAGGATGATTTTGGGTTCTAACATTAAGTAGAAAATAAAAGGATATTGGGTCAAGTTTAGTTGATTACAATATTGAACTTTTTTCTGCTGATACGAAAACAATTTCTGCTTCTATGGCGATAGCAATAAGATAGCATTAAAGTGAAGGAGGCTGTGGTAGGGACTCGGCACTCCAACAACTCGGTGTGCTGCGCGGTTAGGTCAGGTGTGGAACAAGTGCGGCTGACCAACATGAAAAAATTTGACTCGTTAAATCGACAAGTTGCATGCAGTGTCTACTTCCTTGTTGCCGTAGGTGGCGCTATCTATATGAATATTGTCATGTAGACGTGTTCGGGCGGACTGTTTCAAACGTGTAAAGTTGTATTGAGATTTGACTGTACATTGAAGTTGTGAGGAGGTGTATTATAGTACTGTATTGTTGTATGGCAATGGGGATTCGACACGTGTACAGGCCGGGTTGACGTAAGTCGAATAGCAGAACTTTGTTCACAAGTGTTAATTACAGTGATCAAATTTTGATGTAAATCTGATAAATCTGTGTGGAGTTGTTAAACAGAGCTTTAATGTCGAATGGATCACAGTTTGATTCGATTCACCTGCAACTTTGACGCACGCCACGACCGCCCTTCAGACGTACTGCAAACAGCACAATTTTACTTGAGTAGTCTTTGATGTGTAGTTTTGAGCGATCGTGATCCTAGGGGTTTGTTCAAATACAACGGAAATCAAGAAAATGACAATAATAATTAAATGGCTGACTTTTGATGCCATGCTAGGTACCACTTTAATGTAATGCAAAATAGCAACTTTTAATCGCACATTTTTTGACTGTACTGAAATTTGTGAAGTATCCTATAAATTCCCTAGGGATGGTTCGTTAAAATCAAGGGCTGAAATTTCGAATTGAGCTGGATATAAAATGGCCACTTTGACGCTCCATGGACAGGCTTAATGTATGCAATACACAATTTGTAATCGCAACATATTTGTACTGTACTGACATTTTGAAGCGTATCCTGATTGAAAGTTTTGCGAAGTGAAATGAAAATAAAATTACCGATTCTCCGTGGGTTTGGTGTATGTGGTAAAGCTTTTTTGTAGGTCTGGTTGCTGATCGAGTTGTACATGTGGTGGCTGGGCTGACTTTTATGTGGGGTTCGTTTTTGGTCGTGGCTACAGGATCGTGGAGGTGGCTGGATGGCTTTTTGTGAATTTCTTAGGGGTCGTTTCGGTCTCGTTTTGTTTGGTTACGTTAGGTTGTTTTTTTTAGTTCAGGTTGTTGGGGGAACTGACAAGTGAACGTTGTCTCAATTAAAAGGACGCGCTCGGGTGGGTTGTTGGTGAGCTGTTAGTAGTTTAATAGCGACTTGGAATGAAAGAAGATTTGAATAATAAGATCACAGCATCAACGCATGTGGAGTTAAATGAGCCAATACTCTTGATATGTTCTATTGTTGTTAAATTTGCTATTGTGAGGGAACAAGGGCTGCATTATATCGCAGGATCATTAAAGTAACGGGATACAGTTCTGGCCCTTTTCTGATATCGGCGTGTAGTCCAAATCAACATAGGAGGAAACACTGAAAGGCATATTATAATTGTGTGGTGTGAATTGTTGGAGATCTCCCTCATATTACCTCGATTTGCGGTTTGGCTATCTGTTTTGAGTGTCTTCTTGTTACACCGTGAAAACCCCACACCGCTGACATTTTTTCTCTTATTTAACTGTGCTGCACTGTCGCGTGTTTGCGTGTCAAACTAATCGATGGCCATCCCCCCCCCCCTATACATGGTTGTGATTTCGGCCATTATTTTCTCATCGGACGATGGATATGGTTAAAATATGAGAATCGGCGATACGATATTATTGCCGAGTTATATTGTGATCCTAGGTGAAAGGAGATGTCTTTTTATCTTTTATGTTTATTAAGATCCAACTGAAATTCTGTCATGGAGTCCCTTTAGGGCAAGGAATGGATTTTATGAATTTTTGAGCCCCAAAACCTTTTTGGGGGTCTAAATGCGATTTCTATGAAATTTGCACAAAATTTCATGCTGGTAGGTAATAGTATTGTTCTTGGTTGCAGACGGGGTTGCTAATGCTTTAGTGGCCCAAGCACTAAGACCCC